AAAGGCCTATAACATCCCGAAACCTCGAACAGTATTTGTTTCGTTGTTGGAACAAAACGGAGGGTCGTCGAAATTTGTTTTGACATATGAGGTTTAAAAGAATATGAGGATGAAACGAAAAACCGTTATCATTTAAGATGCTACTGTTTTTTTTTTATTTACTTATTTTTAAAGCAAGACATTACTCACGCTTCAAATAAAATGGAAGTTTTGCATATTATCGTATGGTATGTAGAATCCGATTCTTGCACGAGATATTTCCACTTTTAGAGCTTGTAATATGCCAGTATATTACGATATACAGCCTTTTCTTTTCTTTTTTTTAAGGTTAAATCTTAGATTAGAATTGTTTGAAAGATCTTCATCGTACGGATGTCCTATGGAAATTCTTACATAAAGTGAAATTCATTTTATGTACTGCTAAACATGGCAAATCAACAATATATAATCTTTACACATGAATTTAAACCAAGGAACATATGAGTCGTTACTTGGGCTTGCAGAACGGGAAGATTTTTTCAACAGGTTCCAATAATGTGTGTGTGAAGGGGATGAAAGCGTTAGGGGATTCGGAGATGCTTCTAAAAGGCCTCAAAATGCTTAAGCAACGGTCATACTAGTCTTCTCTGCCCAGGGATCCCTAGATAGCTCTGCCGAGTGTCAACTGCAGAGCGGGATTGGTCACACTACACAGTTTCTCTCTGTAGAGAAACAGTATCCCAGAATAGACGAAAGTGTCTATAGTAACTTTTTGGATGAACTACAGCACTAAAGATAGTCGTGGATCATATTCATATCATCGCATATCGATTGAAATATTTCTAGAAAGAAAACACTAGACTTAGAAAAGCCACTCCACCTATTTTATAGTTTATAATAAATCAGAGAATCGTTTTGACAGAAATGGGGAATCCAATGATATTCTTTCCAATAGCATATACCACAGTCAGTGTAATCAATAATGTTCGAGAGACATTAATTATGAACGAAAAATAAACTGAAGTTGAGAGGAAGCACGTACTATAACTTTAGAATATTATTAATTGTCGCTCGTGATACAGCCTTGCCAGCCGTAAGATTATACTCAGTGAAAAGCAAAGTTTCTTGTTGAATTCATCCATTAATGCTATTTTTAACTTTCTGCTATCATGAATTTTAGTGAAGCATCATTGCTACTTGCATTATGTATTAATTATTTTTACTGTAAAATCATACGTTACATGATATACTAATCACAATTTAGACAATCACGTAAGAAGCTTCCCAGTAATTTTATTAATTTCTGTTTTGGCATCATTTTTCCCTCTCTAGTAAGTAGTGTTTGTGTGTGTGTGGTGTGTGTATTATATATATATAATATATATAATATATTATATATATTATATATATATATATATATATATATATAATATATTATATATATATATATATATATATGTATATATAATATAAACATATATGTGTGTGTGTGAATATATGTATACATGTACTAATTATTCGCCCATGGCTGTGTGTTTGTCTGAAAATTATTCTTTTAATGTTCGCTGAGGCATTGAGTCATATGTAAAGATAAAAAGAATTCATTTGTAGTTCGATTCACGTAAATATTACCAGAGCATATTTTGTCTATAAGTAAGTGCATATATGTAATATGTGATCATTCATAGGCACATGTGTTTATGTACAGCAGTAAATTGTGAAATGCTGTTGTGTTAGGAGTTATAAAGATCAGTTTGGACTGTTACGAACGTATATAATTTTGTAAATTATATATTTCTCAGTATCCTTCGCATGTCTTAACATTCGCCGTGGAAAAACAGGTTTCGACTGGTTCTTTTACTTATTTTTCTTCGGAATACAGTCAACGGTCGCTCTCAAACCAAGATGGCGCCTCGCACGTGACACATTCGAAAACGAACTTCCGGGAATATACGGAACTTTTCATGCAGAATGGGCGTGGCAAAGATCCGACTTTTCCTTTCTCTTTCAAATTGTGTCAAATTGTAGTAGAGCTTTCACATCTAAAGTCATTATCAAACCAAGATAATATGAATGCAGGCGACTGTATACTGATTTGCAATATTTTCAGGTTAGGGTCACCGCTAACTTTGCCTCACACACCCTGGACAGAGACCCAGGGGTGGTAGACCAAGTTTGCCCCGGATTCTGCCCAAAAGTCCTCCACTTTATTCCTCTAAGGGACAGACAGATGGTTATCACAAGAATACTTGGGACTTACAACAACAATAACATCGTCGTCGTCTGCCTGTACCATCTTGTGAACTGATTGAAAAAGGCCTGACATGCCACGTGCAATCTTGGTCTGAAATCCCCGTGCCACGTGTCACTTGCCACTTGCGACGTACCACCTTGATGTGAAAGCGGGTGCAGATACTCCAAGAAATTCAAGAAAAGTAAGGATTCGTGTAAATCCATCGATAGCACGCTTGCGACTGAACGAAGCGGTCGCGAGAATTTCTTTTTGGGGGAGTAACAGCAAAGTTCTCGAATGTACTGTGTGCTTTTAATGATAAATGTTTTTGGAAGTCATGGCGGTAAATGTTCAGTGGTTATGGGAAGGTATTCTAAACAGTTACCGTAATACTAAAAATAGATAAAGGAGATTACTTAATTATACAAACAACATTCTATAAAATCGGCATTGTCTGGGAAGGAAAGTTGTACATAGGCCTTCACAACTCGAGTTTTATTTCGAACAAGTTTAACATTTCCAAGGATTCAGGAGGCACCGCCCTGTCCTCCAGAGCCATTCGAGTTCGAACGAAAAATATAGGCATTTCATTTTCCACTCTGCACAATGATATGTTTGTACACATTTCTCCTGATATTATCTAGTATTACACTGTTGTGAAATGAAGTCGGAAATTGGTTACGAAAATAAGCTGATAAATACGTGTTGACTCCACAGAAAGATTATACCTATATATTTCTTCAGCCTTTTGAATATTACTTAGAACACTTGCTTCCGTTGATAAGAAATAAAATACAATACACAAGTATGCTGGAGTTTGGGATTATTTTCATCCTCTTGTATCTCTTCAACATTCGACCAAGGTATCGTATAACAACTACATTTGCCTTCAGAAATACGAAGTTACTTTTTAACGAAACTTTTATACCTCTTCAACTTGTTATTATTTATTTCGAAAAATAATTTTTGGCAACTACATTCAGTGTTAAAAGAACAATATCCGAAATAAAATAGTTTTAGTTTACTTAGCGTTATTATAGAAATGTGCATGTAATAAATTGATCTTTCTGTTTTTGTTTTTTCTTTTTTTCGTGTGTTTAGTTCTACATTGTTGCTTATGTGTTACAGCCATGAGAGAAAAATTGAGACATTAATAATGAATTGAGATATAAGCAAAAAAATAGGATAAAGATAAGGTACGGCATACAGCAGAGGATAAGATATAAGGCATAACAAAGACATATGGCATAAGTGATGAATTAGCATATGAGATAATGCTTAAGTAATGAATTAAGCCATCTTAATGTTAGCACAAACTTAATGAGGTTTTCTTCATGGCAAGAAATATGTGATGAATTCGAGTTAGAATACAAGTGAATTCAGTTAGAATACAAGTGAATTAAGTTAGCATACAAGTAATAAGTTATAGTTATAGTGTTGACTAGGTCAGACAGACATGCAAGCAATCCACTTATTTTACCCTAATAATTTTATCTGAAAATAAACTCGTAACATTCGAGTGAGATGATAATAATCTTGTAATTGTAATTTTTTTCCTTAAAGATATTATCTGGAAAATTATAGATAGATAAATTTATCCCTCTCGTAACATTCGAGTGAGATAATAATAATAATCTTGAATCCGTTTTCTTTTCTGAAATATATTATCTGAGGCATCTTTTCCGGTGGCAATTAGGGTGTCGCGTGATCGGAGGCGAGACAGGCCTATGAGCTCCGCCCATTTCTGTGACGTAATGGTAATGATCGCGGTTGACATCTTGCTATTTTACTGCGCTGGTTATTTTTCCGACAGGTACACAGTATTTTGGAATATGATATCCAAGATGGCTTTTGATATCTTATGGTGGGTAGTGCGGTGTTATAGATATCCAATATAAGTACGAATATGCATGAAATATCCAAAGTAGGAGGAATGCATCTGGCAACTCATTTAAAGTTAACCGTCTGCTCGATTCCTGTCGCGCAAGAGGTGTCGCGTTTCCCGTAACCGCTGGAAAAGATGCCTCTGGTAAACGATAGTAAATAAATGAACAAATTTGATCCCCCTTTTTTTCGCTAGCAATGTACACGATGGTGAAGATCTCTCTCGTAACGTTAGAGTGAGATAATAATAATAATAACCCGTTTTTTCTCTCTCTGAAACATAATGTCCAGAAAAGGAACGTAGCTAAATAAACAAATTGATCCCTCGTTTTCCCGCCAGCAATGTACAGGAAGCTGAAGGTCTCTCTCTCGTAACATTAGAGTGAGATTATAATAATAACAATCCGTCATTTTTTCCCTAAAACTTATTATCTGGAAAATTATAGTAGATAAATAAACAAATTATTTCATCTTTTATTTCGCTAGCAATGAACGGAATGGTAAAGATCTTTCGTGACATTCGAGTATGATAATATTTATGAAACCGTATCTTTTTTCCTGAAACATATTATCTGGAAAATAACCATAAATAAATAAGAATATTGATCCCTCTTTTTTTCGCTGACAATGAATGGTATGGTGAAGATCTTTCGTGACATTCGAGTATGATAATATTTATGAAACCATATTTTTTTTCCTGAAACATATTATCTGGAAAATAACCATAAATAAATAAGAATATTGAGCCTCTTTTTTCGCTGACAATGAATGGTATGGTGAAGATCTTTCGTGACATTCGAGTATGATGATAATTATGCACCCGTATTTTTTTTTCCTGAAACATATTATCTGGAAAATAACCATAAATAAATGAAAATATTGATGCCTCTTTTTTCGATACCAGTGAACAGGATGATGAAGATCTCCCTGATGTTGTTCGTGTGTGTGTTGGTTGTCACGACGTTATCAGCTTTTGTACAGCGATTTGGTTCATCGGGTGAGTTCTCTAGATGTTTGTTTCTTGCATTTTACGTGTGTGCGTGTGAGTGTGTGTATGTGAGAGAGTGAGAGAGAGAGAGAGAGAGAGAGAGAGAGAGAGAGAGAGAGAGAGAGAGAGAGAGAGAGAGAGAGAGAGAGAGAGAGAGAGAGTGTGTGTGTGTGTGTGTGTGTGTGTGTGTGTATGTGTGTGTTGTGAGAGAGAGAGAGAAAGAAAGAAAGAGAAAGAGAGAGAGAGAGAGTGTGTGTGTGTGTGTGTGTGTGTGTGTGTGTGTGTGTGTGTGTGTGTGTGTGTGTGTGTGTGTGTGAGAGAGAGAGTGCGTGCGTGTGTGTGCGTGTGTGTGTGTGTGTATGTGTGTGTGAGTGTAAGTGTGTGGAGGTGTGTGTCCTTATGTCCCTCACCCCCTGTAGTTTCAGGTGTGTAAATGTAAGTACAAGTGTGTGTGTGTGTGTGTATGTGTGTGAGAGAGAGAGAGAGAGAGAGAGAGAGAGAGAGAGAGAGAGAGAGAGAGAGAGAGAGAGAGAGAGAGAGAGAGAGAGAGAGAGAGAGAGAGAGAGAGTGAGAGTGAGAAGAGAGAGAGAAGAGAAAGAAAGAAAGAAAGAGAGAGAGTGTGCAAGTGTGTGTGTGTGTGTGAGTGTGTATGTAAGTATGCAAGTGTAAGTACAAGTGTAAACGTATATACATGTATGTTTATGTACAGCGCGCATGTGCATGTCTGTGACCCCCCTCTCTGCACATATCCCAGGTGTTCACTGCAGGTTTCGATAATCGAACAAAGAATGGAAGTACAACTGCTGCAGTATTCATTTCCAGGTGTTCCGACAATGCCAGATAGCTTTGTTGTCCCGGGATGAAATAAAACGATATAATAAACAAATACGTAGTTACAAAAAAAAAAAAACAAAAAAAAACTCATATTTATTGCTTTTAACATTAGCCCTAAACAACACACCTAATGTTTGTTTTGATATATATGGAAAAATGTATATGTAAAGTGAGAATGAATAACGCCACAGTGCCAGAAAAAAAATGTTGAAAGAAATGATGAATAAAAATGAATAATTCCAAAGCTGAATATGTGACGTTAACTGGATAACGTCACACGCGGTTGTCAGAAACATAGAGGATAGTGCACCATCTGACAACGTACTATTTCATCAAGCAAATTTGTTTGACGTGAATTCCACAGGACTTAGGGCGCTGTTGAGAGAGAGAGAGAGAGAGAGAGAGAGAGAGAGAGAGAGAGAGAGAGAGAGAGAGAGAGAGAGAGAAGAGAGAGAGAGAGAGAGAGAGAGAGAGAGGAGAGAGATGTGTGTGTGAGAGAGACAGAGAGTGAGAGAGAGAGAGAGAGAAATGTGTGTGTGTGTGTGTGTGTGTGTGTGTGTGTGTGTGTGAGAGAGAGAGAGAGAGAGGAAGAGAGAGAGAGAGAGAGAGAGAGAGAGAGAGAGAGAGAGAGAGAGAGAGAGAGAGAGAGAGAAGACAGATAACAAACAGAACCAAAGAGAGAGAAAACAAGAGAGTAAAAAAATAGAAGAAAAATATACATTTACAAAGAAAGAGATAAAAATCAAGAAAGAGAGTAAAAATAAAAATTAAAATCCATTCAAAGAGACATAACAAGCCATACATTCCCCGCCGCAGAACTGCCACCATGGGTCTTCCAAGCGCAGATGACAGCTCTCTTCTTCTCCCTCGCTTTCGTCGCCTTCTCCAGCGCCTGCTCCTTGGGGTCGGATCTGAGCAAGATCACCTCGTCTGCCTGTGAGTAGCTTTAGGCAAGATGTGTATAATATGTGTGTATATGTTTATATATATTCTTTTTAGCATAGAAACTTGTGGTTCCAAACCTCTTTACATTCCCGATCCCTTTAGGAAACCATCATCACATCCGGGACCCCTATATTCTTTTTTAGCATTGAAACCTCTTTTGTTTTTAGCATAGAAACCAGTGGTTCCAAACCTCTTTACATTCCCGATCCCTTTCGCAAACCTTCAGCACATCCGGGACCCCACAACATTTAGTCATTCCTTTATATTGTTGCTAATACCTTAAGACTCGGAAAGAATACAGTGATCCTGATTTACCTAACAATTTTCCTTTGAACATATGGCTTCATAGTATACCTTTGATATGAATACTGACGAATACTTTTCAAATTGGCCTATTATACCCCCCCCCCCCAAGGCTCCGCGATCCACCGGCTGGGAGTACTCTTAATCTATAATTTATTTCCATCTGATCTATATCATACTGAGTACATTAGATGCAACAGTTAAATAGCAGAAAAAATGCATTATATTAAATACAACAATTAAATAATAGAAAAAATGCATTACATTAGATACAATAATTGAATAACAAAACAATACATTATATTAGATACAACAATTAGATAACAGAAGAATGCATTACATTAGAGACAACTATTAAATAACAAAGGGAATACATTACATAAGATACAACAATTAAATAACAAAAAATACACCATTAAATACAAGTAAATAACATTAACAATTGAGTAACAAAAACAGTACATTAAATACAATGAAATAACCAAAACTACATTACATTAAATACAATTAGATAACAAAAAATACATTACATTAGATATAAATAAATACCCCCCTAAAAAGAATAAAATAAAAAACAAACATTAGATACAATTCATTTAATTTGATTTACATACTTATCCCCACTCAGTCGAGAGGAGGAATGACGTCATCATGGTCGACCTGCTAACTAATAAAATAGCGGTGAGCTTTTTTTACTCTGCTTGCTGGGTTCCCATTCTGCTCTATCTCGCAAGCAAGCAGGTCATCGAAATGCTGGAGGACTTTGACGCAAGTAAGAAGTATTCAGTAGGTTTTGTTTTTTTTTATTTCGATGCTAGTTGGCCTTTAAAAAGAATATTGTATTTTTCTGTTAGATTTATATACATATATATGTATATATATACATACACACACACACACACACACACACACACACACACACACACACATATATATATATATATATATATATATATATATATATATATATATATATATATATATATATATATATATATATATATATATATATATATATATATATATATATATGTGTGTGTGTGTGTGTGTGTGTGTGTGTGTGTGTGTGTGTGTGTGTGTGTGTGTGTGTGTGTGTGTGTGTGTGTGTGTGTGTGTGTGTGTTGTATGTACGTATGAATTTATGTATGTGTATCTCTCTCTCTCTCATTTGCTAATCATTTCTTCTGATTTTTCCTCAATCACATGCCTATCCGCAATGAAAGGTTTCTACTTTATATAAATGAAAAAAAAGTCGAGAAATGAGGAAAAATAATACAATGCAATTAATATTATCATTAAGAAATATACATATCGAGAAACGAGGGAAAATTATACAAATGATTTTTTTTCTTTTAGTCTCTCCTGCAGGTGAAGTCATCCTCAGATATCACTGTGCTTTCTTGAGGCACATCCCGGTGACCTCCGTTCAGACCCTCGCATTGTCCGCGCTCGTTTTGCCCAAATATAGAGTCGGATCCACGGGCTCAGCGGTACGTGTGGAGGGTGGGTGGGTGTGGGTCTGGTATAGGGTGGGGTGGGGTTGTGGGTGTGGGTATGGGGCGGGGTGGGGTATGGGATGGGGGTGAGGGTGGGGTGTGTGTGTGTGTGTGTGCACTGTGTACATATAAGTAGGTAGGTCTGTAAATAACATGTAATAGCAAAAAGGAGAGACTGAACAACTGCATGGGTGCTTCACGCACAGGGTGATGTGAAGCGATGGTGTGGTAGTCTAATTAGTGTTAAATGCTTGCATGTCTTCTCGCTTGCAGCTGCCACCGCTGGCTAGCCTAGTGCGAAAAAGGGAGCAGCCCTGCATAAGCTTCCCCTGCCAGTGCATAGCCTCTCCATCATCGAGACTTCTGTAGTGCCTCCTCGTGGCCTCCCATGGAAACTGGGTTCCTTGTGGTTCCAGGCTAAACTGTGGGGGATCTCAGAGCAACAGTAGGCCCCAGAGGTTCGGGGTCATGGCCCATCGGCATGTGGAGACACCCTGGCCTTGTACCAGTTCATCCCCCTGCTCAGGGGTGGTGGACCTTGCCAGTCCTCCTCCCCCCAGATATAACCAATCGGCAGTGTTCTATATAAATGGAAATACTGGGAGGAGGGGAAAAGTCCCTCCCACTCAGAAAGTGAGGCGGACTGTGGGCCCTGTTGGGAGTACGACTGCTGGAGCGCAGGCTGGGAATGGGAAGTACTTGTCCCGGCTGTGTTCTGGCAGCCGCCAGCCTGGAGTGAAGCTTGTGGGGGAAAGCCCTAGGGAACTCCACAGGTGGATGATGGGGCTCACAGCATCGGTGGGGGTGGCAGAGGTGGCGTCCACCCAGAGTACCTGCCCAAGGCTAAACCGTATGCGGGAAGTCAGGGTGGGGGCTTGGAACGCCCGTTCTTTGCGTCAGGTCGACTGTCGAGGGAACTGGCTGAGAGTTTAGGTGGCTGCTCTCTCGGAGGTGAGGAGCCCTGGCAACGGCATGACCAGTATAGGTGGCTACACCTATTACTGGTCGGGCCGCAGAGATGCTCACCATCTCCAGGGAGTAGGCATTGCCATCTCCAGCAGACCCCAGCCCTCGGAGTAGAGGTTACTCCTGTTGGTATTGAGACTGAAAGCTATCATTTGGCTTCATGTCTTTTATTGCTGTGTACACTCCTACTGATGTTTGTAAACTCGACGTGAAAGAGATGTTCTGCGCCAAACTTGCATCTGCAGCAGACAGTTGTCTCCGGCGAGATATTCGTATTGTTCTGGGTGACTTCAATGCGGCATCTGGCTGTGATCAGTCTGGCTATTAGATGTTTCTCGGTCACCATGGTTCAGGAGCTGATGCCGGTAGTGAGAATAGCCTCCTTTTCCGGGACTTTGCTAGGTCCCGGAAATAGAAGATTTCTGGCACCTGTTACCAGCGTCCAGACCCACATCGTTGGACATGGTACAGCAATGCGGGTAATGCAACCAAGGAGATCGACCACACACTCATTAGCACTTGTTGAAGGATCCTCCAGAACTGCAGGGTGTATAGGAGTGCTGAGTTCTGTGGTACTGACCATAGATTGGTTGTGGCTACCTCCGGGCCCACTTCAAAACTCCTCAGTGGTCCAATGATCACCTTAGGGTGTTTCATTTGGACAGGCTGAGAGAGGGGGAGTGTGCCCGTGGGTTTGCTGAGGCAATCTCTGGGCGTTTCACAATGTTTTACAGTCTGACAGACCCTGTTCTTCATTTGCGAAACACTTGATGAAGCAATACAGAATTTCATCTCGCAGGAGATGCTGGAAGCCACATATGATTTTCGTGCAGCTCATTTGACAGGGGATCAGGAATTGCACCGTTCTCATGTGCACAGAACTCGCTCTCTGTTAAGAAGGGACAAGAAACAGTTTATCAGGAGTCTTGCAGAGGAGGTAGAAGGCTATTTCCTAGTAAATAACCTTTGTCCTGCATACCAATCCCTGAGAAAGCTGAACTCCAAGCTCTCTTCATAGGTGACAGCAGTTTGCTTAGTAAATGGCCAAATCGTCTCAGATCCTTTTGCGGTGCGGGGCCGTTGGGCTGAGTATTTTGGGCAGTTGTACCCACCCGTCACTGAGGATCCTCCCTCCCTAACTGAAGGGGGGGGCGCTCTCCAAGCTGAAGAGTGGTAAAGCAGCAGGTATCTGCGGAATACAAGCTGAACAGTTAAACCTATTGCGGGGGGGTTACGTGCTGTCCTGGCTGCCATCTGGCGGTCCAGTACTGGAACGTTCCTCCTGACCAGTTGAGGGGTTGTTGTCATCCCTCTCTGGAAGGGGAAGGGGGACAAGTTTCTCGCCCACATACTTCTGAGATGTATCAGAGACCACCTACTGAGGCACCAGAGGCCGGAGCAATCCAGATTCACTCCTAGTAAGTCCACAATAGACCATATCCTTGCACTTCGAGTCATTGCAAAGGGCCATTGTGAGTTCAGGCGTGGGCTCCATGCAGCCTACATCAACCTGAAGAAGGTATTCAAAACAGTGCATCAGGAATCACTTTGGGAGATCCTGAGACTGAGAGGAATTCCAACAAGGATTATTGGACTACCAGCAAGCCTGTATACTGGTACTGAAAGTGCTGTTAAATGTAGTGGGGGCCTGTCGAGCTTCTTTCCTGTTAGTTCAGGAGTGAGTCAAGGCTGTGTCCTTGCACCAACTCTTGCATGGACTGGATACTGGGCAGAGCTACAATTCAAAGTCATTGTGGAGCAACTCTGGGCAATATCAAGGTTACCGACCTTGACTTTGCTGATGATATTGCTATTCTTTCTGAGCCTTTGGAAACCTTAATGGTGGCTCTGGATGCATTTAGCAATGAAGCAAAACCCTTGGGTCTAGAGGTCTCCTGGACCAAGACCAAGGTCCAGGAGTTTGGGGACTTGCTAGGAGAACCTGTTCAGTTGGTACGTGCTTGCGGGGAGGACAATGAAGTCATAAAGAGCTTTACATACATGAACTCTGTCGACAAGAGTATTTGGAAATGTCAGTACCTGTGCATAAGGACCAAGCTATGGGGTTTCAAGGCCCTGATAATGCCAGTTTTGCTATACGGTAGTGAAACCTGGACATTATCCTGTGCCTTGGAGTCTCATCTTGATGCCTTTTGTAATAAATCCTTACGCTGGATCATGAGGTACTGTTGGCGGGACGTGTCCAATCAACAGTTGCGCCGTGAGACTGTCACAGGACCTGTTTTCTGCACTATCCATGATTGCCAACTCAGGCTACATGGCCACCTGGCTCACTTTCCTCAGGATGATCCTACCCATCAGGTTGTCTCAGTTCGAGACAACCCTGGGAGGAGGAGGCCTGCGGGACAATCTAGGAAATCGTGGCTTGGGCAGATCAACCAAACCTGTCGTGAAGATCTCGAGATGGGCCGAGTCCCTGTCTGGCTGCTTGACATTAGGGATCCTCGTAGATGGAAACAAAGGTTGGATGCGGCTACGCGCCCTCGTCGGCGTTAGCTCCTTGATAATAATTATAACAAACCGCACCAGTCGGCACACACGCAAAGGCCAAAACACATCCATGCTTCCCCATTGCCCCCAAAACAAGCATGAATGTGTTTTTTTTTTTTTTTTTCAATAGGTCCCCGAGGCTAACGGCTGCTGGAAAGCGATGATAAGATTGGCCCTCTGCTTGCCTATATTATCTCGCTTGATTCTGTACATGTTTGTGTTGCCTGAGAAGACTGGCTTTCGACACACCGTCTTGATAGAAGACCTGCCCTCTTCTTGTAAGTCCATTGTTTATCTTTTTTTTTTTTTTTTTTTTTTTTTTAATTATTATAGTCAGTGGTCGTTTTTTTCGTGTAAATGTCTTACTGTTTATGTGGCATGTGATAAAAATTAAGATAATATAGCTGCTGATGATAATAGCAAAGATAACTATTAATCGTAATAATGATTATGATACTACAACTAATAAATAATAACAATAGTAGTATTAGTAGTTGTAGTAGCCGTAGTAATAATAGTGATGATGATGATGATAATAATAATAATTATTATAATAATAATAGGCCTACTACTACTACTAATAATAATAATTACGATAACAATAATAATAATAATAATGATAGTGATAATAATTACAATAATGATAATAACAACAATAATAACACTAATGATAACAACAACAATGATAAAGCATACGAATTTCAGTCCTGTTCTGTGACGTGGCGATCGACGAAGCGTACCTGGAGGTGGCCCGCTATGAAATGTTCTTAACTCTGCTTATTTGCCTGACTTACTCGGCTCTCCACCTGCCTCGTTATCTCGAACGGGTCTTTCCTCAGCTCACTCAGCAACTGCATCAGAATGGCAAGTGTTGGTTCGTGTTACTGAGGGGGAGAGATAGGGAGGGAGAAAGGGAGAGATGGATTTGTTAGAGAAGGGTTGGGGGAAGGGGGAGGGACGGAGAGGAGAGAGAGAGAGAGAGGGAGAGAGAGGGAGAGGAAGGAGGAGGAGGAGGGAGGAAGGGAGGGAGAGAGAGGAGAGAGAGAGAGGGGGTGGAGTAGAAATGAGGGAGAAAATAGAAAAGAAATCGGAGAGAGATAGAGGGGAGAGGGAGGGGGGGAGATAGAAAGGAGGAGAGAAAGAACAAGAGATGGAGTGTGGAACAAAAGGGGAAAGGGAGTGCTGGAGAGAGAGAGATGAGAAATTGGGAGTGGAAATTAGAGGGGGAAGATGTGGATGGGAGTGAGGAATAGATGGAGAAAGGAAAGGGAAGAGATAAGGAGAGAGTACGAAAAGCAGCAGATGTAAAATAAGAGAGAGAAGGAGAGGGAAATAATTGGAGACTGAAAGGGAAAGAGATC